TTCCGTCTCTCTCTCTCTCGCTCTCTCCTCTCTCTCTCTCTCGTTCTCTCTCTCTCTCTCGCTCTCTCCGTCTCTCTCTCTCTCGCTCTCTCCGTCTCTCTTCTCCTCTCCTCTCTTCTCGCTCTCTCCATCTCTCTCTCTCTCCGTCTCTCTTCTCTCTCCTCTCCCGTCTCTCTCTCTCTCTCTCTCTCTCTCCGTCTCTCTCTCTCTCGCTCTCTCCGTCTCTCTCTCTCTCGCTCTCTCCCTCTCTCTCTCTCTCTCTCTCTCTCTCTCTCTCTCTCTCTCCGTCTCTCTCTCTCTCGCTCTCTCCGTCTCTCTCTCTCTCTCTCTCTCTCTCTCTCTCTCTCTCTCCTCTCTCGTCTCTCTCTGCTCTCTCTCTCTCTCTCTCTCTCGCTCTCCGTCTCTCTCTCTCTCTCTCTCTCTCTCCGTCTCTCTCTCTCTCTCTCTCTCTCTCTCTCTCTCTCCTCTCTCTCTCTCTCTCTCTCTCTCTCGCTCTCTCAGTCCCTCTCTCTCGCTCTCTCAGTCTCTCTCTCTCTCTCTCTCTCTCTCTCTCTTGGCTCTCACGTCTCTCTTCTCTCTCTTGCTCTCTCCTCTCACTCTCTCTCTCTCTCTCTCTCTCTTCTCGCTCTCTCTGTCTCTCTCTCTCTCGCTCTCTTCCGTCTCTCTCTCTCTCGCTTCTCTCTCTCTCTCTCCATCGTCTCTCTCTCTCGTCTCTCTCTCTCTCTCTCGCTCTCTCAGTCTCTCTCTCTCTCTCTCTCTGCTTCCCCTCTCAGTCTCTTCTCTCTCTCTCTCGCTCTCTCTCTCGTTCTCTCGCTCTTCTCCTCTCTCTCTCTCTCTCTCTCCGTCTCTCTCTCCGTCCTCTCTCTCTCTCTCTCTCCCTCTCTCTCTCTCTCTCTCTCACCCTCTCCGTCTCTCTCTCTCTCTCTCCGTCTCTCTCTCTCTCTCTCACCTCTCCGTCTCTCTCTTCACTCTCTCCGTCTCTCTCTTCTCCCTCTCTTCTCCTCTCTCTTTCTCTCTCTCGCTCTCTCCGTTTCTCTCTTCTCTTTCTCTCGCTCCTCTTCTCTTTCTCTCTCTCTCTCTCTCTCTCTCTTCTCTCTCTCTCTCTCTCTCTCTCTCTCTCTCTCTCTCTCTCTCTCTCTCTCTCTCTCTCTCTCTCTCTCTCTCTCTCTCTCGCTCTCTCCGTTCTCTCTCTCTCTCTCTCTCTCTCTCTCTCTCTCTCTCTCTCTCTCTCTCTCTCTCTCTCTCTCTCTCTCTCTCTCTCGCTCTCTCCATCTCTCCATCTCTCTCGCTCTCTCCGTCTCTCTCACTCTCTCTCTCGCTCTCTCACTCTCTCTCGGTCTCTCTCAGTCTCTCGCTCTCTCAGTCTCTCGCTCTCTCCGTCTCTCTCGCTCTCTCTCCTCTCGCTTCTCTCCGTCTCTCTCTCTCTCTCTCTCGTCTCTCCGTCTCTCTCTCTCTCTCTCTCACCCTCTCTCTCTCTCTCACCCTCTTTGTCTCTCTCTCTCAGTCTCTCACATTCTCCATCTCTCTTTCTCTCTCTCGCTCTCTCCGTTTCTCTCTCTCTCTTCTCTTCTCCTCCGTTTCTCTCTCTCTCTCTCTCTCTCTCGCTCTCTCCATCTCTCTCGCTCTCTCCGTCTCTCTCACTCTCTCCATCTCTCTCTCTCTCTCGGTCTCTCTCTCTCTCGCTCTTCTCTCGCTCTCTCGGTCTCTCTTGCTCTCTCCTTCTCTCTTGCTCTCTCCGTCTCTCTTGCTCTCTCGGTCTCTCTCTCTCTCTCTCACGCTCTCTCCGTCTCTCTCGCTCTCTCGTCTCTATCTCTTGCTTTCTCTGTCTTTCTCTCTCGCTCTCTCCAGCTCTCTTTCACCCTCTCGGTCTCTCTCTTGTTCTCTCCAAGTTATTGAGGAAGATGCCATAGTAAGCAGAGTGTTTTCCATTGAGAACTACTCTCATTTGTCTGTCGAGATAATTTTTCAATAAGGCCAGAAATTCGTCATCAACTCTATATGATTTTAACTTGCTTACCAAACCTTGGTGCCATACTCTGTCAAAGGCTCCCTCTATGTCCAGGGCAAGAACGCAAATGCGCTGCTCACATCTCAAGTGCAGCTGACCATTTTGCAGTCATCTGTGACTGCTGGTCGGCAGCAAAACAGTTCTTCAGAAAACCATACTGCCAGGTAGACAGATGATGGTTCTTGTTACAGTGGTTTGTTATGTGTGAAGATATTATTTTTTCAAATATCGTGCTAATGACTGACAGCATGGAAATTGGCTGTTCATTTTTTTTACTGGATTTGTCCTTTTCAAAAATGAGGATAACATTACTTTGCTTCCAAAGTGTAGGACATATGCAGGAGCTTAAGCATGTGTTAAAAATTAAAGTGAGAGATGATAGCTCCTTTGTGCATCTCTGAAGCAGCCAAGGGCTAACACAGTCAGGTATTGTAGCTTTTCTTGTGTTTATTTTGCTTGTTGTAATCCTACTTATTTGCTCATTACTCATGA